GCCACCGGTTGAACAGTGGTAGAGAAAAATGACGTAATACCCAGCCACCGGTTGAACAGTGGTAGAGAAAAATGACATAATGCCCAGCCACCGGTTGAACAGTGGTAGAGAAAAATGACATAATGCCCAGCCACCGGTTGAACAGTGGTAGAGAAAAATGACATAATGCCCAGCCACCAGTTGAACAGTGGTAGAGAAAAATGACATGATGCCCAGCCACCCGTTGAACAGTGGTAGAGAAAAATGACATGATGCCCAGCCACCGGTTGAACAGTGGTAGAGAAAAATGACATAATGCCCAGCCACCTGGTTGAACAGTGGTAGAGAAAAATGACATAATGCCCAGCCACCTGGTTGAACAGTGGTAGAGAAAAATGACATAATGCCCAGCCACCTGGTTGAACAGTGGTAGAGAAAAATGACATAATGCCCAGCCACCGGTTGAACAGTGGTAGAGAAAAATGACATAATGCCCAGCCACCGGTTGAACAGTGGTAGAGAAAAATGACGTAATGCCCAGCCACCGGTTGAACAGTGGTAGAAAAATGACGTAATGCCCAGCCACCGGTTGAACAGTGGTAGAAAAAATGACAGTGGTAATGCCCAGCCACCGGTTGAACAGTGGTAGAGAAAAATGACGTAATACCCAGCCACCGGTTGAACAGTGATAGAGAAAAATGACGTAATACCCAGCCACCGGTTGAACAGTGGTAGAGAAAAATGACGTAATGCCCAGCCACCGGTTGAACAGTGGTAGAGAAAAATGACATAATGCCCAGCCACCAGTTGAACAGTGGTAGAGAAAAATGACGTAATGCCCAGCCACCGGTTGAACAGTGGTAGAGAAAAATGACGTAATACCCAGCCACCGGTTGAACAGTGGTAGAGAAAAATGACGTAATACCCAGCCACCGGTTGAACAGTGGTAGAGAAAAATGACATAATGCTCAGCCACCGGTTGAAAAGTGATAGAGAAAAATGACGTAATTCTCAGCCACTGGTTGAAAAGTGTTAAAGAAAAATGACGTAATGCCCAGCCACCAGTTGAACAGTGGTAGAGAAAAATGACATGATGCCCAGCCACCAGTTGAACAGTGGTAGAGAAAAATGACGTAATACCCAGCCACCGGTTGAACAGTGGTAGAGAAAAATGACTTAATACCCAGCCACCGGTTGAACGGTGGGTGAACACTTGTAACTATTTGCGTATTTTGACTCAAGATCTCAGACAGAACGATTAAAATTTTTCCAGAACGCAGGGCTCTGAGGGTTAATCATCAAAAATTGCTATCTACTTTCATCCTGATTACTCTTTCCTCTTCCCGCTCATTATTAATATTTCTGTTCCTTATTCTTCCAAACCCAGTAAGCCCCTTGTGTCTTAGTGGCTTTACTGCCTTGCTTGGGATAAAACAAATTTTTAAAAATATATCTAAAATTATTTCATAAATTACTCTTCTGTCAACCTTGGATGAACCTGGTTACCTGTCAGGGCGCGTTAGTTGTGCGCTCGTGCCCACCGGTTCAGAAACGCTCCCCTACAGTGGCTATCTTCCAAATTGAAGCTTTCCGACTCCAGAATAAAACTGACAAATGACCTGTCAACTCAACCACAAACCCTGGCAGGCATTGCTGAAGAACATCTTCCTCTTGTTGCTTCAAGTCGCCATAGGACACATTTAAAACCATGTGTATGTGCATAACACATTTAAAGCCATATGAAGCTGGATGTCATAGTTAAAGCAATCTAAATGTGGATGACACAATAAAAGACATATGAAGCTGGATAACGCAGTTAATTCCATCTGAAGCTGGATGACACAATAAAGACGTGAGATGCTTGATGACGCAGTTAAATCCATATGAAGCTGGATGACACTATTAAAGACGTGAGATGTTTGATGACGCAGTTAAATCCATATGAAGCTAGATGACACAGATAAAGCCTTATGAAGCTGGATGACACAAAGCCGTGTGAAGCTGGATATCATAGTTAAAGAAATCTGAATGTGGATGACACAATAAAAGACATATGAAGTTGGATGACGCAATTAAAGACATGTGATAATAGATGACACTGTTAAATGCGTCTGAAGCTGGATGAAACAGTTTAAAACATGTGAACGTGGATAATACAGTTAAATCCATCATACACCTAGTAATCCTTTGTGCCTTAGTGGCTTTAATCCCTTGCTTGGAGCGAAATCGATTTAAAAAAAAAACATCTAAAATTAATTCATATATTAATCTTCTGTCAACCTGGGATTCACCTGGTTACTTGTCAGGGCGCGTCGTGTTTGTGCCCACCAGAAACGCTCCCCTACAGTGGCCACCTTCCAGATTGAAGCTTTCAGACGCCAGAATAAACCTGACAAATGTTTATCTATCAACTCAACCACAAGCCCTGGCAGGCGTTGCTGGAGAACGTCCTCAAAGTGGAAGAAGAGACTTGAGGCAGCAGAAATGTGGTTCTATAGGAAGTTACGGAGAATACCATGGACTATCAACTCAACCACAGACCCTGATAGGGATTGCTGGAAAACGCCCTCCTCCTGTTGCTTCAAGTAGCTTTTTTATCTTCGAGGAGACAGTCAAGCTTTCGCTAAAGAGCACATAACAGTTCTGCATTCTTTTCTTCGTTTCTTATGAAGTTTTTCTGTCCCTTAATATTCTGCTTAGCTTTTGGTATGTAATTTTGGCCATCCCAGTGCGTCTTGCAATCCAGTTTTAAAAGAAAGCAAGAAAAACGACTTGACATCAATTGAAATAACGCATAGTGCATGGATGGAAACAAAAAGAAACACTCCAAGATGAGGAGGCACGGTGGAGTAATGGATAGCGGCTTGGATTGAGGAATCGGAGAGCCGAGTTCGAATTCCAGTCGAATCCATTACATTCACTTACGTACTAACACCCTTGGGAAAGGTGTGAATCCTCTTCTTCTCCCTCCTTGGATGGCATCTGGTATAGGAGAAGGAAACCTCTGAAGTCAAAATCTGCGGAGGGTCATTTGGTGACTTTGTGGCACGTAGTGCACCAGGTCTCTGTATTTGGACCTTCAAAAAGTGTGGTTGGTCCAGCACGAAGCCTTCACCACTATAATCAAATCTCATGTGCTGTTGCCGGGCTGTCGGTTTCCTGGGAACTGATCTGCTTGACCCTCATATATCGAATTCAACGGGAGAGTCGAGTATATATATATATATATATATATATATATTAGGTTGGTGCAAAAATAATGTCGTTTTTTGACGTATTTTTTAACGTCAAAAAACGGCATTATTACGTCATTATTTTTGCACCAACCTAATATATATTAGGAGGCACGGTGGAGTAATGGAGAGCGGCTTGGATTGAGTCGAATCCATTACATTCACTTCCGTGCTAATACCCTTGGGAAAGGTGTGAATCCTCTTCTTCTCTCTCCAGCTATGGGTAAATAGCAGGATAGACTGGGTTCTATAGCCTTGGATGGCAACTTGTCTAGGAGAAGGACAACTCTGAATTCAAATCCTGCGGCCCTTCAAAAAGTGTGGATGGTCCTGCACGAAACCTTCTCCACTATAATCAAATCTCATGTGCTATTCATGCGGGTTTGGGGACCGCTTGTGAATTCCAAATTCCCATGAAACTCCAATATTGGAGCCGGCTTAACCCACCCCGGGGGAATGCCGTTACAAGACAAGAGAGAGAGAGAGGATGCAAACTATGAACTGGAGACAGCAAAATCAAGCAAGTGTAAAAGTTTAAATATCTAGTAAGTGTTTAAAAAGCGGACATACAAACCCGACGGGACATTGGGATAGCGAAAGATGCTTTTCATAATGCTTTCCATAAGCTACATGAAATATGAAGAAACAGGAAAATCGGTACTCTTCTATAATGGGGATTGCTGGGGAACGTCCTCACAGAGGAAGAAGAGACATCAAGAAGCAGAAATGTGGTTCTATAGGAAGATACGGAGAACACCATGGACTATCAACTTAACCACAAATCGCGACCGCCGTTAATTTTTATCTTAATGATCTGTGAATTATTATGACTTGTTGTTCTGTAGAACTATATTTCTGTTGCTTCAAGTCGCTTCTTTATCTTCGAGATTTTAGCCTTCGATGCCATATAGGAGAGCTGATAGGACGGAATAGTTCAGTACACTTTTCTTCGTTTCTACTTGCCTGAATATTCGAGAAATATTCAGGTCGGTAGATGTAGTTGGATGAAAAATACTGTTTAATTAAAAAAAACAGACCTGCTACTCGGATAGCAGATAACAATTAACATTTAAAAAAAATAAATTAAAAATAGCAATATGTAGGATTTAATCCATTTTCTAAAAAATAAATTGTCTTTGTTTACGTTAGAAAGATAAGGAGAATCGACAGGGAGTTTCAGTTCAAATCGCACTATTCGGGCGTTATTTCGCTATTAGGGAGACCTATGTGGTCGAATGGTTTGGCACGTATGATCCAATAAGGTGTTCCCCATAGCGGATGCAGGTTCGAATCCTGACAGAATCCGCGTACTTCTTTTTTGCTGAAAAGCAATGATAACAGCAAAATTGCAATATGAGCACTGGTAAAAATGATTGCTGAGGACATTAGGTTTATAATAGCCAGAAATTCATACACGGACACATGGCATAGTGGATAAAGGCGTTGGTTAGATCCAGTGAAAAAAACCCAAAGAGTGTGAGTTCAATACCCGGTTAAGCCAGTGAAGAATTTTCAGAGGGAAATTAACAGGAGATAACTGACATCCATTAAACGTGGAATTTGAACAGTCTACCCCCAGTGTGTGAAATAAAGGGTTCAGTTCGACATTCCAACCACCTGAAGCGTTGTGATAAATATGGCGACAAAGATGAGGACAATAGTCCGAATAATGTAAATAATGTACATAATACCTCATCTCAGAAATATAGACAGATACTGAAAGGTTGTGATAAATATGGCGACAAAGATGAGGACAATAGTCCGAATAATGTTCTTTTTTACTTTAAGTCTTTTTTCCTTTCTTTCTGTCTTTCCTATAATGACTGTTCTCTCTTTTCATTAAACTACACTCTTTTTTCATTCTTTCTCTTTTTATTCTTTATTAATTTTATTATTCTTTCATATAGTTATTACTTTTTTTACTATTATTTCCTATCTTCTTTTCTCCTTAATATTCTTCCCTCTTTTCTTTTTCTGTTATATCTATTCTTTTTTTAAAATTCTTTTATTCGTCCGTGCTTCCTTGTAGCATTCTTCTTTGTTCCTTCCTTCTTTGTACCTTCCTTCTTTGTTCCTTCCTTCTTTGTAATTTCCTTCTTTGTTCCTTCCTTCATTTCACTATCAGTCACTTTTTATTTCTCTCATTCCTACAGTCTAAGTTTTCTATTTTCGTAAAACTTGCCATTTTCTCTTTTTGTGGGAAACATGGCTACTTCTTCCCTCCATTCCATTTTCCGTTTTTATCTACCAATTTTAAAATTCTCCCTTCCTTTTTTCCTTCTTTTTCACTTTTAATTTCCTTCCTGCCTTCCTTTCTACTTTCATTTTCACTTTTACTTTCTTTCCGTGATTCCTTGCTTCATTTTGGCTTTAAATTCTTTCCTTTCTTCTTTTCTTCATTCATTGATCCTTTTCTTTTCACTTTTAATTTCTCTCTTTCCTTTTCGATTTTAATTCAGTTCATTCTTTCCTTCCATTTCGCTTTTAATTTACTTCCCTTCCTTCCTTTCTGATTTTAATTTCCTTTTTTCATTCCTAACTTCGCTTTCAATATTCTTCCCTTATCACTTCCTTGCGTTTCGCTTTTGATTTCCTTCATTAATTCCTCCCTTTCTTTCATATCGCTTTCAGTTTCCTTCCTTCATTCATTCTTTCTTTCGTTTTCGCTTTTAATTTACTTCCATCCTTCATTCAGTCCTTCATATTCCTTTTAATTTCCTTCCTTCCTTCCGTCCTTCCTTCCTTCCTTCCTTCCTTCCTTCATTTTCGCTTTTAATTTCTTCCTTCATTTCCTCCTCCATTTTGCTTTTAATGTCTTTCCTTCATTCTTTCCTTCCTCTTCGCTTTTAATTTCCTTCCTTCATTAAATCCTTCATTTTCGGTTTTAATTTCCTTCATTCCATCCTTCATTTCTCTTTTAAATCATTTCCTTTCTTCATTCCTTCTTTGCTTCTTTTCTGTTTTAATTTCCTTCTTTCCTTCCTTTTATCACCCTTTTCTCTTTCTTTATATTTTCTATACTGCTATTCTATACTCTTTCATTGAACCATTATTATCTTTGTGGGAGGCGAAATATTTTTCCTTCCTTTTCGATTTTAATTTACTTCCTTCCTTTTCGATTTAATTTTCTTCTTTCTTTCCTTCCTTTTCGATTTTAAGTAATTTCTTTTTTTCTTTCCTTTACACTTTTAATTTCTTTCCTTACTTGTCGCATAGGCTTTTGTTCTTTGCATCTCGCTTTTAATTTCCTTCCTCCCCTCCTTTATTCCTACCTACCTTTTCACATTTAATTTCCTTCATTCATTCATTTCTTTCTTTCTTTTTCGCTCTTAATGTTCTTCCTTCGTTCTACCCTTTTCGCTTTTAATTTCTTTCCTTCTTTCATTTTCGCTTTTAATTTCTTTCCTTCTTTCATTTTCGCTTTTAATTTCTTTCCTTGTTTTTTTCTACATTTTGGTTTTAAATTCTTTCATTTCTTCATTCATTGATTCATTCCTTTTTGCTTTTAATTTATTCCCTTCCTTCCTTTTCGCTTTCAATTTCCTTCTATTTTGCTTTTAATTTTTCTTCCTTTTTTTCGTTTTGGTTTTTAATTTTCTTCCTTCCTTCATTTTCACTTTTAAATTGTTTGCTTTCTTCTTTTATTCATTATTTCTTTCCTTTCCGTTTTTAATCTACTTCATTTCTTTCTTTCCGATTTTCATTTTTTTTTTCAAAATTTTCATTTTGTTCTTCATTCCTTCCTTCATTTTCGCTTTTAATTTCCTTCATTACTACCTTGCTTTTAGCTTTTGATTTCCTTCATTAATTCCTTCTTTCCTTTTATTTTACCTTTTAATTTGCTTCTTTCATTCATTCTTCCCTTTCTTTTCGCTTTAATTCCATCCTTCTTTCATTCCTTCCTTCCATTTCGCTTTTAATTTCCTTCCTTCATTCATTCCTTGCTTTATATTAGCTTTTAATTCCCTTCATTCATTACTTCCTAAATTTTCGGTTTTAATGTCATTCCTTCTTTCATTGCTTCTTTCATTGCTTCTTTCATTTTCTCTTTTAAATTCTTCATTTTTTTTTCGCTTTTAATTTCCTTGTATTTTTCATTCTTTTTCGCCTATAATTTCTTTCCTTCCTTATATCAACCGTTTCTCTTTCTTCATATTTTCTATATTGCTATTCTACACTCTTTTCATTAAACCATGATTATCTTTGTGGGAGGCGAAATATTTATAATTATACCTTATTTTTTGTTGTTGTTGTAATGTTCTTTTTTTCATTCGTTCTTTCTTTTTTATCTTCTTTCCTTAATCTCCTTTAACCTTCTCTTTCCTTCGTTCTATCCCTCCTATCCTTTCTTCTCTCTTAAATTTCTAATTTCTTCATTATTTCCTTGTTTCTCTCTTATAGTCCAATAATATTTCCATTGCAATTTCATTCATTTTCTTTCTCTTTTGGAGAAACACTTACCCATCTTCATTCCTACATCTATTACCGCGCTCATTTAACGATGGCCTTTAGCCTTTTAAAGTACTAAAATACAACAACTAAGTATTTCTAACACAATTTAAAGAACCCTAAAAATAAGAACAAGCCTAAACAAAACAGCTATTATTTCAGGTTTTGATTTTTTTTTCTTTCTTTCATGCTTAAAATCAAGACAAGAAAAAAAAAAGCGTCGTTAATTTGAGTTCTGAATCAAACCACGAACGCCAACAAGTTACGAAAAAGGCCCGTAAAAATGACAGCGTTCTTATTTTACGAGCAAAGTTTACAAAGACATCAATCGAACACCAAACGCATAAAATAGTGAATAAAAAATGATTGGTCTCACCATCCTTCCCACAAAATCCAGGCCACAACTTTCCAGCCTCCAGTCCCCCAACACAACATTCAAAATCGTTTCTACTTACTTATCTATACAGGAAGTTGAATCTATCAACCACATTATCTATCTATCTATCTGTCTATCTATCTATCTATCTGAGCATTTAAGCTTAAAAAATTGCGGAAATTCAAAAAGGGCGCTGATATTTGGGGCGCCATATATTTCCTAAATACACCACTATTTGTAACTGTGTACAATATTTTTCTATCGACATTCACGTATACGCGCGCACATACACACTCTTCACGCGCGCACATACACACTCTTCACGCGCACATACACACACTTCACACACACACACACACACACACACACACACACACATATATATATATATATATATATATATATATATATATATATATATATATATATATATATATATATATATATGTCTTAGTTGAGAAAGCACACAGGCGTGTGCCAAAATTCAGAATTTTACATGCTTTCTCAAGACCCTTCTGTTTGGTATAAAGGCCTAATAATATGAATTAAATATTCAAATTGCAGGTATTATCATCATCATTATTATTATTTATATATCAAATTTCTTTCATCTAATATATATATATATATATATATATATATATATATATATATATATATATATATATATATATATACGTATATATATATCTTTCATACTATATATATATTTCATACTATACATATATGTATATCTTTCATCGACCTACCTATATATATATATATATATATATATATATATATATATATATATGAAAAAATATAGTCTTAAGTTGTGCTATATATATGGGATAAAAGTGCTCAATATCTGAGATAGAACGTGTAAAAAAAAAGTGAACATTGAAGTCAAGACTTGGAGATGTCAGGCTTTTTCATGCTAGACGCAATCGTCAGGCCATATATATATAATAGGCCGATGAATATATATATATATATATATATATATATATATATATATATACACAGACATATTGTGACCGTGACCATAGTAGATAGATGTTATTGAGTATAGACTTTTTTCTTTTTTATTATCAATGCTTTTATTATTTAAAAAAAAAAAATTAAACGAAAAATAATGGAAGCCTTGATAACAAAAAAAAAACAAAAAAAAAACAGTGATCAATTACATGAGCTATGAACATGGCCACAATGTGCTGCCCATTCCCATAACTAGATACATACATAAAAAAAAAATCTACACATTAAGTTAGAATTAAAAATTAAAAAAAACAAATCCTTGATAAAGGGTAAAAGAATATCCGAAACCGTTTGAACTTACAAAACATTCGGTCAATTTTTACACAACTTGTGTCCAGAATAATAATAATAATAATAATAATAATAATAATAATATGTATTCAACATATCACAATTTTCTTAGTAAGAGTGCTCAAAAACTATCTAGAGTATTGATTCTCAAACGGGACCCATATACATTATGTAACATTACTAGGGTGCAAACAATATAATAGCGAACAGGGGGTTACGGTAATATTTTAGTGGTCATAGGGCAATTTCACTTCAGAGTGGTTGTTACAACAGATAAGTTGAATTTCTACAGTAAATTACGCCATATTAAAGTATTAAAAATAGAAAAGTCAAAAACTAACAGAAAACGATATCAAGTGATGTGTAAATTAGCGTCCCTTTTACTCTACTGCATGTTTTGATTGTAAAAGTTGAATAAAAACTGAGAAGGATATATAAAGAAAGGATTATATACATATATATATATATATATATATATATATATATATAAGTTCATGTGCACTTTAAAAAAATTATAAGTTTATTTGTATTTGCGATAGAAATAATCTGTAAAAAATGCTATAAATTTTAATGTACCTATTTTTAAGTATAGCTAAATTAACTAATGTCATTTCAGTCATTACTGTTAATTAGTTGGCAAATGTGACCTGCAAAATCGTATTAACTTTGGTATTGCTAATGATGGAGGACACGTGGAAACTTAAATAAAATTTCAATAAAACCTTAAAAAATATAGATTTAATTCTTTCTAATCCTTTTTACAAATTATTTCTATCCCAAATACAAATAAAGTTATAAATTTTTTAAAGTGCACACGAACTTTATGGACACCCTGTATTAAATATAAATTAATTAAAATATTTTAATAAAATAAAACGCAATAGAAGATTATGTTAATATAGATTAATTAAAAAAAAATTCCATAACTAGATACGTATAGAAAAAAATCTACACAGGATTAAAAATTAAAAAAGGTAAAAGAATATCTGAATTTTTACAAACTTCTATCCAGAAAAAATTCTACTTATAATAATAATAATAATAATAGTAATTCGACATATCCCAATTTTCTCAGTAAGAGTGCCCAAAAAATTTCTATAGCAGTAGTTCTCAACTGGGACCCATATGCACCCTTGGAGGGGGTTCATGTAACATTATTAGGGTCCCAAATACATAATAGCCAACTGTAATAATATACTACTACTACTACTACTACTACTACTACTACTACTAATAATAATAATAATAATAATAATAATATAATATAAGAGCCACGGTAATATTTTGTGGTAAAAGTTAAATAAAAAACTGAGGAGGATGAATAAAGGATATATATATATATATATATATATATATATATATATATATATATATATATAT